TATGGTTTTGATTTGTATTTCCCTGATGAGGAGGGATGCTGAGCATCGTTTCATGTGTCTGTTGGCCATCTGGATGTCCTCTTTGGAGAAGTGTCTGTTCATATCTTCTGCCCATTTCTTCACTGGATTGTTTGTTTTTTGGGTGTTATGCTGAGCGAAATAAGTCAGACAGAGAAGGACAGATACCATATGTTTGCACGTATAGGAGGATTAGGAGGAATTTAACGGAGGACTATGGGGGAGAAGATGGGGAAAAATAGTTGGGGAGAGGGAGGGAGGCAAACCATGAGAGACTCTTGAATGCTGAGAACAAACTGAGGACTGATGGGGGTGGGGGGAGTAGAAGGGAGGTGATGGGCATGGAAGAGGGCACTTGTGGGGATGAGCACTGGGTGTTATATGGAAACAAAGTTGACAGTAAACTATTAAAAAAAAAAAAAAAAGACTGCCTTTTGACAGAGACTGGATGTTCCTTGAGGCAAATGGTAGGACATTGGGACCTGCAGAAGTATCTTGACACAGACGGAGAACACGCCGGAGCTTTCCTTCTGGTAATAATGAACTTGGCAATTTGGGAATGAAGGCGAAATAAGCGTATTTCCAGCTAAAGGAAAACAGAGGGTGTTCACTGCTGTACGGCCTGCAGGAAAGGAAACTGGAGATAAGCGCTATCAATATAACTTTCAGAGATGAAGAAAATGTCCTCTATATTTGCTGTGCTGTAGCCATTAGCCACTTGTGGCTACCGAACACTTGAAATGTGCCTCTAATGAGGCCAAGGAACTGAATTTTAAATTTTATTCAGTTTTACTTACTTTATATTTAAATAACCACATGTGGCTGGTGACTATCATATTAGACAATGTGGTCCTAAACATCTTCAGGTATAAAGAAAATAATCCCAGGTGGAAGATATAGAGATAAGAAGAAATGAAGAACAAAGAAGATTACTAAATACATAGGCAAAAGGAAATTAATGCTCATGCTATGAAATAATAATAATAATGATAATAAAATATGTAGTTTTGAAAGTATATGAAATTAAAACATGACAGTAGAAGCATATAAATTGGGAAAAATTGGGATGTGTGGGTGGCTCAGTTGGTTAAGCATATGACTCTTGATTTCTGCTCAGGTCATGATCTCACAGTTCGTGAGTTTGAACCCCATGTTAGCCTCTGTGTTGAGAGTGTAGAGCCTGCTTGGGATTCTCTCTCTCTCTCTCTCTCTTGCTCTCTGCCCTTTCCCTGCTCATGTGCTACCTCTATCTCTTTCAATATAAATAAACAAACTTAAAAAAAATTTAAATTGGGCAAAGTTGAGGTAAATGGAGGTGTTCTGTCATCCTTGAATTGTTTGAGAGGAGAATAAAGTTATTCATCAGCAGTAATCTTAAGGATACATGGGGTACTTCTAGGATAAGCACCAAAAGAGTTGAAATAAGTATAGAGGTATATACATTTCACACTAGTAGAGAGAGAAATTGGATGATAAAAAATATTCAAGCCAAAAGAAAGCAAAAAGGGAGAGGAGAAACAGAAAGGGAGTAATGAAAAAAGCACCATAACAGCAGTAGGTTTTTAAACCCAAATGCTCTATTTCATTGATTTCAAGACATACAAGGGGTGCCTGAGTGTCTCAGTCAGTTGAGCATCCTACTTCGGCTCATGAGTTCTCGAATCTCATGGTTCAAGAGTTCAAGCCCCATGTCAGCCTCTGTGCGGACAGCTCAGAGCCTGGAGCCTGCTTCAAATTCTGTGTCTCCCTCTTTCTCTGTCCCTCCCCTGCTTGTGCTCTGTCCTTCTCTCTCTCCCAAAAATAAATAAACATTAGGGGTTCCTAGGTGACTCAGTTGGTTAAGCATCTGGCTTTGGCTCAGGTCAAGATCTCATGGTTAGTGAGTTCGAGCCCCGCATCGGGCTCTGTGCTGACAGCTTAGAGCCTGAAGCCTGTTTCAGATTCTGTGTCTCCCTCTCCCTCTGCCTTCTCCTGCTCACTCTCTGTCTGTCTTCCTAAAAAATAAACATTAAAAATTTTTAAATAAATAGATAAATAAACATTAAAGAAAGACACACATGTACTCGTATTTTTACATTTCTGAAATTGGGAAGCATGTGACAGGCTGTGGCGTCATATGAGCTCTGTCAGATTGTGCTAACTTGTCAGAGTTCTTTTTCTTGGTCATCAGTTGAGTTTTGTGGATCATTGTTATTACATGTGATGAGTTTAATTTCGGCTGAAAACATTTCAGAAAGATGCCCTCTGACTTGGCATGGAAACTGAGTAGTGGGGTAAACAGGTCATTTTAGTGAAGCAATTTTTCTTTTTTGGAAAATACCAAGAACTTTCAGAGACCCAAAAAAGAAGCTACCCACAAGTAGATGGAGCTCTTTATATTTTGTTTCTGAGATATGTGCAATGTAAAACAAGAGAAATGCCAAATCCCTTGGAATTAAAAGAAAATTTGATATGATTGATCTGTGCCCTTGATAGGGCTGTCATTGAGATGTTGTGTCATGGTTTAATTGGTGGCACTTCTCTTATTGATCTATAAAACTTTGGCGTGTCTTATAATCCATGATGTTTTAGAGTTGACGTAAGTGGTTTCTACGATAATGTTGATTACGCAAAGCAGAGAGAACTGAATTATATGCTGTTTGCAAGACATACATCTAAAGCATAAGGGTGGAGGGCATTGAAAGGAGAAGGATGAGAAAGGATACACCACAAATACTAATTAAAAGGCTTCTGTAGCTGACAAGGTAGACTTTAAGACAAAAACCATTCCTAGAGATAAAGAGGATTTCTCCCTAGAGATAAAAGTCTCAGATCACCAGAGAGATATAAAAATTATACATTTGTATGCACCTAATTAACATGGCTTCAAAATGCCAAAATCAAGACCAAAATAAGAAATCTATGGCATAGTAGGAAATCTTAATATCCCCCTTACATAACTGATAGAACAAAAGATATCAGTGAAGGTAGAGAACATCTGCTGAATAGAATGAATACATCTGACCTCATGGTCATGTGTAAATTACCGTCCATACATAACAACTCCAGAATACATGTCAAACATTTATATACAGACATTGGTGGGAAAAACATCCCATCTTCCCCCCGAAATGCTTACAGACACAGTGCATTCCCATGTTCCCTTGGCCACTGTGCCCTGGACTGCAGGCTGAATATGTCCTGTGGACATCTGCAGTTGGCTCTGTCCCTCTAGCACTGTCCCGCTCCACAGGCCTGGCTAGTTCTATAGCAGGGAAGTCCCCTGACTGCCTCTCCTGCTGTATGGGCTTGGGAAAACCGTGAGAAGTGCCAGCATCCTATGGTGATGCAGGATGGGGGAATCAAGCTGATTTCAGTAATATTAGAATCCTTTGACTGTTGGATGACAGAATTTATACTCGCTTGGGTTTCCCTTTTTTTTTTTAATTTCATATTTTCCTTCACAATCTCATCCCTATCTCAAAGGCTTATGAAGAAATTCTCCAAAGATCTCTCTTTATTAGGCATTTACTAGACAAATTAGAGATTTCTATTCCAGCTATCAAGGGAATAACATTTTTCAGATCTTTAGACCAATAATGAAATACCCTGCGACAATTAAAAATAATGTAGAAAAGTAATGATGAGATGAAGTGCTACTGGAGATATCATCAGGACTAGGAAAGGCAGGATGCATTGTAAATAGGAAAGGAAAATAATCTGTCAGACATATTTCTGTCATTGCAGGTTATGTAGCTATGAGCATAGAAGACGATCTGAAGATAAGACCCTAGTTTGTACCCACATTAAAAAAAATTTTTTTTTATATTTATTTATTTTACATAGAGAAAGACAGACAGACTGAGAGGAGGAGGGGAGCAGACAGAAAGGGAGACACAGAATCTGAAACAGGCTCCACGCTCCGAGCTGTCAGCACAGAGCCAGATGTGGGGCCCAAACTCACAAACCGTGAGATCATGACCTGAGCCGAAGTCAGATGCTCAACCAACTCAGCCACCCAGGTGCCTCTGTGCCCACATTTAAAAGATGGAGCTGCAACGTTCTCCAAAAGGCCTGGGCTGCCCAGAACTTGGTCTGTGATCTCCGGGAAATTGCTTAACCTCTGTAGACTGCCCTGACTTTCGCAGTGGAAGCTGGGAGGACAGCCCCAGCCCCAGGATCAGCACAGGATTTGGGGCCGTAAGGAATGCAGGGGGCTTAGCCCAGCCCTGGAGTATGAAGAGCACGCTGAGGGCCACGGCGGCCATGACTGTTGCTCCTGTGTGTTGTGCTGTTGCTGGTGACCAGCAGCTATGACCTTGCTTGGTCATGTAGATCTTCCTCTGCCTGCACCAGCTGTTTTTAGCATTGTAAAACACAACCATACTTATTAGCTGACAAGAGCAAATGCAATGCAATGCAAAAAAAGCAAGTAAATAGCCAACAGGCTGTAAGAAGAAGCCGATTCTTGGTGGCTTGATCAAGGAAGGCCCCCTGAGATGTGTTGCACGTCACCATTGAAGAAGAGCTAACAGAAGTTGTGGACGGGGTGTCAGTGATGTCCTGGAGTGCTCTTTAAGGAGAGATGAAAGGACCTTGCTTTTCTCTGGGACATGGGGCCCCAGCTGGCTGAACTCTGTGACTGGGGTCAAGAACCACTATGAGGACAGGGGCTTGCCCACACCTCCCAGGCTCAGTGTCCGGCCTGCATGCCACATCTCCCCTTTCCTTTCCTACACCTTCGCTGTTGGACTGGACTGGCAGTCACACAGCCTGTCTCAAGTGCCCTGAAACGTGTTGAATAGATGTGGCACGGTCCTTGGCAGAGTGACACTACTCCACAGGAATTTGTTTATTCCCTTGGGTGGAAATGGCAGGCCATGAGTAATAACCGACACCTAAGATGCTGCTTATTATTGGATGAAGGAATGCGCTGTTACATTTGCATATACACTCCCAAACCGATCCTTCAAAATGAGGACCAGAGCTGGCCCCTCCACCTCAGAGGTCCTGAAGGGAGAAGACAAGCAGAGCTCCGGGAGTCACAGAGCGTGGGGATCCTTGGCTCAGGTAAGTGGTACTGACTCCGGTTCATGAGGCCAATTGACATAGATGCAGAATAGCATAAGCTTGCCTTGCTTTTTTCCACTGAAGCATGCCCATCTATGGATTTCTCGACTTTCTCAATGTTATCTCTGACACCTGCCTAGACCACCTTGCTCTCAGCCCCCAAAACAGTCTTCCAAGAGGGCTTCTGCCCATCAGCAGGGCATTGCTGGAGGGCCATGCGCACACCGTGCTTAGGAAACTTGCCAGCCTTGCTAGTGCCAGCCTTCTCCGCTTTCAGAGTCTAGGGAAGAAGAATCTAGAAATTACTGGATTTCAGAAAGGAGACTTTGGAACCCTCAATATTTTGAGTGTTCTCAAGTGAAAGGGGATAGATCTCAGATGGCTAAATGCACTGCTTTTCTCAGGAGCTCTGGGGAAGCCACGTGCATTTATGGTGACCCAGGTGGCAAATTCCAGTAGCAGCTCACAGGGATTTCCCAAATACGTCAGCCTGTGGGCATCATTCTGCCCCCCATCAGGACTACCATTGTCTTCATGTATTTTAGTACCTACATTTGTGGTAGGCATTTCTTATTGTGATGTCATGTGGATGCCAAATTCTCTAGCTTCTCAAGTGCCACCCATTCCCTGTGTCCCTTGATGTAGCCCCAAACTGCTAAGAGATTTGTGCTTGGTAGATGTGGGGAATGCAGCCAAATAGCAAATAACTTAAACTCAAGTAGTGGCTATCCACACCCTTAAGGATCTGTCAGGTGTCCCCACTCCCTAGAGCCACCTAGTGGCCATCCTCCCCTATCATTCTCTGTTCTTGCTGCCAAGCCCCAGAGCCATTCCTCACCATTTTTTATTTTTGCAAAACCATTTAGCCCTTTGTCCCACTCCTAAGCCCTTCTCAAGGGATTGGGTCTCCACACAATCTGCCCATCTCTGCCAACTAAAAGTGGTGTGACCTTTGAGAATTCACTTACCTTTGGGTTTTTCATCTACAAAATGGGGATAACAGTTGTTGCCTCACTTCCTTCTCTGTGTTGTCCTGAAGTAATGTTGGGAAAAGTTCTTTGTGAAGTGAGATGTGACTTGCAGAACTGAGGGGTGTTTAGAAACTCCTCTCAAAGTCCTCCCAGTGAAGAGCTCCTGTGTCATCCCTTCCCCAAGACATTAGGAGTTGATCCTCCTGGGACCTTTGGAAGCTCCATTTTCTATGACAAGAGGCTGCAAAGAAACTGCCTTTCCTTGCAAAGATTAGACTACAATAGATGGTTGGCAAACTTTTTCCATATATGTTGGGGCTGACCAGATGATCTGTCTTTCAAATATTCATCTCTGCTATTGAAGCTAGAAAGCAGCCATAAACAACATGTAAAAAAGGACATGGCTGTGTTCCAATAAAACTTTGTTTAAAAAAATAGGTAGTGGGACAGATTTGGCCTGTGGTCTGTAGTTAGTTTGGTAATCCTAGGGGTAGAGCAATACACTTTGAGCTTTCTGTTCCATTTTTATCAAATGTTGTCAAGATCCATGAAAATGATATTGTGACCCACAGCTTGGAAACTGTTGCTTTGGAGGGGCAAAAATCAAAGAAGGAGTGATAGAAGCATGGTCCATTCTTATGGGGCCTTTCTGGACATGGCAAACATTTCTGAGCTGAGAGAAAGGCTGATGGCCTACTAGGCACTAGTGCCCAGCAAGGTTTCCTGGGTTCAGAAGTGTCATAACTGATCTCTTTCCTGCCTTTCATCCCAGGCTCCTGTTGAATCATTTCATTGTGTTCAAAATGTCATTTTTGGAGGACTCAAGTGTGAAAATGGAGTCTGAAGACCAGGAAGGAGACGAGTCCCAGTGCTGCTCAGAAGGTAAGATTCTTGCAAGCATCCATACTGGGACCAAAAGATAACTCCTAAAGCAGGACCTTGTAGGTCTGTGCACAGACTGGTTCCTCTCTGTTGACCTTGCAGGTTAAGTGACCTTTGAGAACTTCTCAAAGGTAAATGCTGGTAAATGCATTAGACAAGAGAAGTCCTAGAAGGGAAAGTGAAGCTCTGTCATGTGGGTGTAGGTGCATCAGGCATCTGATGAGGTAGAGAAACAGATCACCTTCACCTGAAGATCTGGGGCTTTGAAGTCCTGACTCACCAGCTGGGTGGTTCTGAATCCTCCAAATGTATCTTTTTCCTCCCAGCCTTCCCAGGGAGAGAAGGGCCTGCGGTAGAAGGGGTTATCTGGGTCTTGGGTGGGAAAAGGACCCCGGCTCAGGACTTTTGACCACCCCATGGAGAAAGGCACTCTGGTGTTGGCTCAAGGGGTATGAAAAGAGGAGGCTTTTGACCCAAATGACTGTCTAGTGCATGGAGTCTGAAGGGAGAGGCCCATGACATGGGACTTCAACTCACACATGGCAATCAGAATTCCCAAACTAAAAATAAGACATTTGTCTGACAAATGCAGGCCAGCCAACAGAGAGGTTTGGAAAGCCTGCTCCTGCTCTTGGAACATGGGCCGTGTGGTGGCCACCATGTACCTTCTGTCCCTTAGACAGCAGGAGTGGACACCAGGAAGGCCCAAGCACCAGATACTGTAATTACATGCAACCTTGGGGAACTCCAAACGGTGATATCAACTCCTAACTCTGTCTCGTTGTTAGTGGCATGTGTGGAAGTGGAAAAGGCTTCCTCTGGCTTCCAACACAGTCCTTGAGAGTCTCTTTCTGAACTGAGCCTGGGGTCTCCCATCTTCTGCCATCTTTTCTCACCAAGGTGCAGTCTTCCTGCTTCTTAGAAGCATCGACTATCAGAGCTGGAAGGACAGACAGGGAAGGGAGGGCTCAGAGCAGTGATAGACAGTCAAGTACACTACAAGTGAAGTCACTACAGCCAAGTAGTGAGCAAGGCCAAGACTGCCTTCATAACAGAGCACAGCATTTGGGTTTTCTTCTTTCCTAGGTGCTATGTACTCTCCATGTGCAAAGGCTGTTGGATTGTGACCGAGGATCTCATTCAGGCATTTCTCAAACTTGATGTTTTATCAGATAGAAGCTTCCAGATTACTCTCAGAGTACTGTGAGCAATGTATCCTATAGCCCCTGAATTAATACAATGCATGTGTTTTTAATAGTTATGGCTTCTAGTTCTGCATTCAGAAACTAAGTTCTATTTCATCTCCATTTCTACCATTTTTGACCAGGAAGGCTATTTTTTATGTCATTACTGTCTTTAGTGTTTCTCAAAACATACAAAAAGAAGTGAAACAGGGGTGCCTGAGTGGCTCAGTCGGTTAAGCACCCAACTTCTGCTCTGGTCACCATCTCACAGTTTGTGCGCTCCAGCCCCGCATCAGGCTCTGTGCTGATAGCTCAGAGCCTGGAGCCTGCTTCGGATTCTGTGTCTCCCTCTCTCTGCACCTCCCCTGCTCATGCTCTGTCTCTGTCACAAAAAGAAATAAACATTTAAAAATTAAAAACAAAACAAAACAAAAAGAAGTGAAACATTAAATGGCCCCTGATGTTCCTAAATCCCTGGGAAATCCCAATTACCATGGGCTAACCTCACTGTCTCTGATTCCAGACTCAGACCGAAGCCCCCAGGATCCAGACATGAGCTACACCTCAAAAAGCTTTCCATATTCAAGTAAGGCCCTTGGGTGAACCAATGAGGGTGGCAACGGATGAGGGTGGGCACGAGGCTGGCGCCACAATGTTCTCCTAAGGGAGTCAGAGGGTTGAAGGCTGAGGGTACCTAAGGGTGCTGGGATGAGGCCGAAGCTTTTCCTTGTGGAAACGGATCTCCAGAGCGTCAATAAGAAAGATGAACCCTGGGTGGAGGGGAGAGGGCTCAGCTACTGAGTGGCCCAGGAGAGGAAAGGTTTTGAGCCTGGGAATCTTCCTTGTCCTTCTGACCTTTGCCATAAGGCTGGCAAGCCTGACCTCAAGTGATTTGCAAAAACCAGAAACTTGGCCAGCAGAGGGCGCACACGAAACCCTCCCCTTGGAGGGTGCCTTGGCAGCCCTCTCTGATCTGGATCACAGGCTCCAGCCTGAACCTGACAATAACCTTAAGAAAATTCAAGTGCAGAAACTGAAGGAGTGAGGGAGGCTGCCTGCCCCAGGGGACACAGGTGGTACCGGTGACAGATGCTGGAATTTAAAGGTACGGTAACAGCTCTCTGCCCAAGTCAGGTTTAAGGCTCCTCCATCACCACCCTTTGCACAGGCAGAGTCAGGAGGCCTCAGCCTGAGCCCCAGGTCTACTGCGGGTGACTTCCTCCCTGGCAAACTGGCAGCGAGTGCACACAGGGGCACGGCAAGCCCCCCGCCACTCTGTGAGGGAGGTTGCGTCAGGCACTCCTGGCTGCTGCCATGGCTGCTGTTGCTCCCGCTGTTGTGAGGACGGACTCCCCAGAGGAGATGGTTACCAGCACGTTGAACACGGAGACCTCTGCTATGGCCTTGAGAAGGCAGTCTGAGGAGCGCACGTGGGATCAGGAATGATGTGCGTGAACACCAGTTAGGAGGATCTGGCACAAGCCAGTCGGGGTGTGATGGGAGGGAAACAGGAGTAAAAGAAGGACAGGTTTGGGAAATATTTAAGAGGCAGACATCCCAAAGCTAAGGCTGGAAATGCAACTTACACAGCATGTGTGGGTGTCGCCCCAGAACCAACCAGAACTTCAAGGCAGTGGGGACCAGGCATCCATGGCCATAAAATGTCACCTATCAAATGGTTTCCTGTGTATGGTACTTGGCTCCTAAGTACTTCCTACCTAGTTTCTCACTGCCCTCCTTACTTTTCCATGGGCCCTCCAAAGGTCTGTCTCACCCAGGCTTTGCTGACAGCATGATGCCCCCAGTGATAGGCTACAGGAAAGAGCATTAAGAAGAATAAAGGTCAACGTGTTCTGAGTCTTTTATGCAGCTCAGATACCTGGCAAAGTGCTACTCGCTTGAATAAGCCTTTTAATCTTCCCAATACCCACTCCAGGTAGGTGCTGTTATTACACCCTTCTCACAGATGAGGAAGTTTAGAGAGATTTAGTAATGTTTCCTAGGTCCTAAAGCGGTAAGCGATAGGAACTTGGATGGAACCTATCTGTGAAAATGGATAACCCATGTGCTTACGTTCATGCTAAGCTGCTTGTCCAGAGCAAGGTGGAAAGCCTGGGAGTGGGAGAAAGCTTGAATGGTCTGTGATGTTTGAGACCACAGGAAAGGGGAGGGCTGGGGCTGGGACCCTCGCATGTGGGCTAGAAAGGATTGCCTATGAAAGGGCAATCTCGGAATGTAATCTGTAGCAAGAACAGGAACACCCTAACCAGAGATTCCTTTCATAGCTGGTCACTCCTCCTGCCCCCATCCAAGATCCTGGGTAGGGTGAGTCAGGTGAGGCAAAGAGGAAGGTGTTTTGGGAGTAGAAGGAGAAGACTCTTAACTGTCCCGTATTCTGCTTGGCAATGAGTTACCTGCACAGAGATAATAGCCTTAGGAGTGGTGTGCTCCAAGCATTTTGGATCCCAGTTACCCCAGTCTATTAAGCAAAACTGAGGACACATCTTTGAAATGTGGGCATTAGTCCATTAAGAAACTTATGCAAATGTAGAAAGTTCACAAAAACTAAATAAAATAGGAACTGGCTTTTAGTGGTTTCTTCCCCCATTCCAGTGGATTCTCTGGCTCTCCCAAGGGCAGCGCTCCCCCCCCATCCCAACAGACCCGCACCTAACGAAGTACTGGCAAGAGTTTGGCAACCAGTTCTCTGGGGTTGGGTGGGAGTGAGAGGGAACACTTCCTTGGACATTTGGGAAGAGAAACTGCTTCATTCTTTACATGGCCCCAAAGCAGAACCAGGCCCCTGATCCGCTTTCTGAAACTGTAGCCATAGCCTACATATTACCAAAGACTGCAGAGGAGAGGAAAAGCAAGGCAAATTTCATAATGTTAGTATGTGCTAATTCCTTCCTGGCTCAGTCAGCAAAATCCTTTAAGAGAAAGATGGACTCAGACCAGCACTCACCGGATGGCAAACAAAGATGGCAGGAAAACACTGCTCTGCTAAGGAAGGGGGCTGGTCTGCTGCCTGCAGTCTAGTTCATTGCAAATCACCCCCACCTCTTTTTTTTTTTCTTTCTTTCTTTTTTTTTTTTTTTTTAAATATTTTTATTTATTTCTAGGAGAGAGAGAGAGACAGCGTGAGCAGGGGAGGGTCAGAGAGAGAGGGAAACACAGACTCTGAAACAGGCTCCAGGCTCTGAGCTGGCAGTCAGCACAGAGCCCGACGCGGGGCTTGAACCCACGAACCGCAAGATCATGACCTAAGCGAAAGTTGGACGCTTAACCGACTAAGCCACCCAGGTGCCCCTTTTCTTTCTTTTTTTTAAATTTTATTTAGTTATTTTTGGGATCTCTGCAAGGCCGAGAAAGCCAACTGCTTATACATGGGGCATAGAAGCTGCAAAGTGGCAGCTTTCATAGTAGATAGGATTGGGGCCCCATATCTATATGAAGCGTGGTCCTTGAAGAATAAATTTATAGGTATATTTATTCCAATGTATCAAGTATGGTCCCATAAGAGTTAGGTCCGGTTGGTCTGCCAGCCAGTATCAGACTAAGGAAATTTATGGTCTCATCTGAGCCCATTCTGAATTATCTCAAGGCCACATAATGAAATTGAAGGACCTCTCACAACACACATCAGTGGCTTGATGCCACTGCCAAACAAGAGGTGTCAGTCGTTAGAACTCCCAAATTGAAAATAAATGCAAACAAAACACATTAAATATTAGTTAAGTACTTATGCAATCATCAAAGTGGAGAATTTTTGAAAATATTGTTAACTACAAAGTAACTTTGATTATACATTCTCTTCGAGTTGTAGTCAAAGAAAAAAGTTAGCTGAATTGGTAAATATTGCTGTTCATCAAGTCACTTTATTTTTAGATATTAGTCATGTTGTTTTGGACTCTATATCAACAGATAAATCAAATGAGTAAGCTAATTGTGTAAGGACCAAGATTTTCAGTTAGACAGTAATTGTGTAGCTCACTGAATTATAAAGAAAAGGCATAGTGTTTCAGTAAACTGGTGACTTTGGTCTTAAGATGACACAAACAAGGTTTGTCTTTCTAAAGGATATGAGGTGAAAGATCAACAACAGAACAAAAGGAGTCATCAACCTCCAGACCCCAAATTTTCACTAGGTTTTCCCAGTGCAGATCACAATTTCTGAGCAGGTAAGGATCACCCAGAATTTAACCATTAGATCTGTTACATGCAGCCTAGAAAAAACCAAACCCATATAAGCCTCCAACTCCCCCCACCTCCAAATTTGTACCTGGCTCCTGAGTTTCTATCCTGATTGCCTACCTGACAGCCTGACCCCACTTTAGCATCTGGACCTTGCCTTGCTTTGGACCTAAACCCAGATGAGTCACGAGGGCCCTGTGCCTGCCTTCAGGTTTCCCAGATGCAGCTTCTCCGGGTTCTTTGTTATGGGTTCCTCCTACCTGTTAACACCCGCTGCCCCGTCCTCCTCCACGAGGACTCATGGACAGTACCTTGCCATACCCCTTGGACTCTGGACCCCACTGCACCTCTCTCAATGCACCTGCAGCTGGACCAGCTTTCCTAGAGTTCATCCAGCATCTATGCTATCACCTATTACAGAGGTTGCATCATCCAGGCTGGCCTCCTGGAGGAGATAACCAGTATAGCCTGGCTGCGTCTTGAGAAACAGAAGACCCTGCATGAGATTGGGCATGTTTAGGAAAGCAGCAAACCCACAGGCACTGAGATCATCACTTCCCAGAAATTTATTATACCTAGAACTTTGTAATTAACCACAGTCTACTTTTTATAGCCCAAATGACATACACTTTACAAAAATGCTGATTCAAAGGGGTGCATGCACCCTAGTATTTACAGCAGCACTATCAACAATAGCCAAAGTATAGAAAAAGCCCAAAAGCCCATTGACTGACAATGGACAAAGAAGATGTGGTATATATATATATATATATATATATATATATACACACAATGGAATATTACTCAATGACCAAAATGAATGAAATCTTGCCATTTGCAACAGTATGGATGGAACTAGAGTGTGTTATGCTAAGCGAAATAAGTCAGTCAGAGAAAGACAAATACCATATGCTTTCACTCATATGTGGAATTTAAGAAACAAAGCAGATAAACGTAAGGGAAGGGAAGGAAAAATAAGATATAAACAGAGAGGGAGGCAAACTGTCAAAGGCTCTTAAATACGAGAACACCCTGAGTGTTGGTGGAGGGGTGTGAGGTAGGGGGATGGACCAAATGGGTGACAGGCATTGAGGAGGGCACTTGTTGGGATGAACACTGGGTGTCATATGTAAGTGCTGAAGCACTGTGTTCTATTTCTGAAATCAATACTACACTGTATGTTAACTCACTTGAATTTAAATAAATAAATTAAAAGATAAATAAAGGGACAAATGACACTGAGAGCAAAGCCCACATGCTTACTGGCTGAAGACAACATGTTATGGGAGAAGATATGTTCTTAATTGCTATTGTCGATAGAATAAACAAATGTTGACACAAAATGAGCAAACCTTTCAGAATCTCTAAAAGAAAGAGAATTTTATTTGAGCC